ATGGCTTTGATATCATTCTATACTCAAGCTATTCTCCTTGCACAAATTCTATTACTACTGTCCAGGTAGGTATAGTTAGAAACTATGCCGACTGCTCTACATCCTCTGCATTTTGAGCGCCGAGATATTCGCTCATCTTGTTCTTAGGGTGTCAAATTGATACACAGCTTTATATATTTCACCAGATCTTTTGTATGTCGTATCCCATCTCTCATATCCACATGCTCTACTTTATATACCAAGTAAATCAGAAGAAAACAAATCACGCACCTGCTCAAGCGCGATGGACAACAGGTCCGTGTCCACGCTCACCAGGCCGCTTGTGCGGAAGCGCCGGGTTGCTCGCCTTCAAAGACTCAATAATACCAGGACCCACCTCTTCGATGGCGCGGATAAGCGAATCAACGGTCTCCTTCGTCGTCTGGACATTCACCACGCACCGGAAGAACTTCCCATTCCCAGCTGCATCCTCGTCCTCCTCTCCACTGGGAGGCGCAAAGTCCACCATGAAGCCCTTGGGCACGATTGCACGCGTCACCTGCTCAGTGACCTTGCTGTTATTCTTCCCGCGCTGTGTCTCATTCGAGACGATGCCACGCGGGTACACGAACTTCTTGCCTGGCGCGTAGTAAAAGCACACCTGCAGACAGGGCGGAGGGTTTTCGCTAATAAGAACGAAATCAGGATGTTGCGCGATGGTATTAGCCAAGTGCGCAGCGATGTCGCATGCCGAGTCGATCTGCTGTCGGTAGCCCTCATTGCCATAGTATGTCCAACCCAAAAACAGCTTCAACGAATCCGCACGTCGACCACATTGGAGAGTGAGGTCTGCTAGATCCCACACTTCCGGTGAGTCGACTTCCAACTCGGATTCTTTGTTTGCGTCGCCGTTGGTAGCGGGCTCGTCTTCTTCGCTGTGGAATAGGTACCCCGCGGGAAGTGTGTTGGCCTTGTGGAACTGGCGTATATCCGAGGCTAGCAGGTAAGAGCAGGTGACCGGAACGCCAAGCATTTTGTGCGGATTAATGCCGATGCTGTTTGCTTTCTCTGCGCCAGCTAGCTTATGCTTCTGGCGCTGGGAGAAAACGAACGAGCCACCCCAGGATCCGTCAATGTGGAACCACAGGTTGTATTTTTCGCAAATGGCTGCGATTTCGTTGAAGGGGTCGAAAGAGCCTAGGACGGTTGTGCCTGCGGTGGCATTGACATAGAACGGCGTCCGGCCTTCGCTCTGCGCCTTCTGAACCAGTTTCTCAAGCTCGGCTGGGATCATGCGGCCGACCTTGTCAACAGGAACAGGCCAGACAGCACTGCTGCCGAACCCGAGCATCTGCGCTGCCTTTTCCACGCTGTAGTGGCCGTGTGCGCTCGTGAAGAGCACGAACTTGTACCCGCCGTTCCCGTCTGTCTTCGTGCTGGGGTATAGGTTGTTTCGCGCAATGACAATGGAGGTGGTGTTCGATGCGGATCCGCCCTGCACGGAAATGCCTCCCGCCTGTGGACCGTTCAGCCCGAAGAGGTTCGCCAACCGCTGGCCGGTATATTTCTCAATGACCGTCAGCGCAGGGGACACTTGGTAGACGTGTACGTTGGTGTTCAAGGTAGCAAGTATGAGCTCTGCTGCCACGCCGGGCGCATTGGTTGACGCATACAGCTTGTCCAAAAATCCCTGGTGCCAGGTGTTGACCGAGTATTGCAGAACCTTTTTCAAGACTTCAATGAGACCTTCCTGCTTGGTGCCTTTCTCTGGGATCTCAAGCTGAAGGATATCCTGCAGCTCTTCAGGCTTCTTATAATCTATCAATGAGGTTCCAACGAGTCCAGTGTGTCCATTGGTGCCGTTGGTGCCATTTTTCTGTGTCAAGGACCCGCGGGGATCCTCGTCTGCGGATCGGATAAAGGGGATGAGAAGGTCTTCCACCGCTTTCAGAAGCTGAGCATGGTGCTCGCATTAGTTTCAGAACATCGAATAAAGAATCTGGTGGGGTGTAGATCATTGCGATATAGAGTTGACTCACACTTTGCACTTCATCAGCGCGATTGGGCTGCGCAATGCCAGACATTTGTACAGATTCTCACGTTCTAGTATATGCAAATTTAAGGAGAGACAGTGCAAATTCTATACAGAAGAAACAGAAAAGAAAAAGAGGACAGAAGACGCAATTGAAAAGGAAAGAAAAGTTTACCGGCGACCACGGAAATGGCGACAATCCCGCAGAGCCTGACATCATCCGTACCTTAAGCCCTCATGCGATGATCTATACTCGGCTAGTAGAATGTTTTTGAGTCGGATTTTCATGTAGTTTTGAGTTTGTATACTCCCAATTAACTACTCCGTAGATTCCTTGCATATATTATATGCAGACAAGGATATTAAGATTCGGGCTGATCTGCAGGAACCCGAATACCCTCACGGTATTGTGGTCGATGAACTATATACAATTTATCAATTTTCTAAGATATCTCTGATATGTTTTGAAATATAATATCGATTCATAAGAAAGGTATGGAAATAGATATAAAGCAATGAAACAATTGAATGCATCAACGCCTTTTTATGAGTACATGTGCATTTCGTCTAATATAAATTTTTGATCACCATTGTACCACTTCATCTGCTAGCCACCGCAGTCTGGTTTGCACCAGTAGCACCAGCATCGGCTGCTTCCTTTGCTGCCGCATAACGGGCCCGGGCCTGTTCTAGTTTAGACTTGGGACGTTCGGCACCTTCACTGGCCTCGGTTCGCTCCTCAAAGCCCTTGGCCTTGTGAGTCCAATCGCGTCGGCGGCGCTTGAAGAGATCCATTGACCAGTTTCGCCAGACTGCACGACCAACAAAGGAGTCACGGAGCTCCTGTTCATGCTGCTCGAGTTCTTGCGCCATGCGCTCCTTGACAAAGAAGATGTCCTTGGTTGCAGTCCAAAGCGCATCCACTACGTGTGACCCGCTGCTGCTCAAGGCAAGAGGTGTGAGATGACCCTGGAAACGGGTGGTGAGTTGTCGCCGGATTTGAGGCGTGGAGGTTGTAGAAGTCAGAGCCTGTTGGAGAACGCGGGAAGAGGTGGGTTCTTGGGCAAGTTGTACGATGGTTTCGGATGATTGGGCGAGGAGACTCGTGTAGACAAGTTGGCTCAGCGGGCCAGGAACGGTCAACATGGCCTGTACTAACAGAGAGCCATGCAGTTTCTCGGCTTTCTCCGCCGCAGATACTGGGGGTGGGCCCCGTGGCTTGCGGTCCTTTCCATCGTTGTCCTCGTCCATATCATGGTCTTCAGGTTCCGGGGCTGTGCTCTCCGAGATGTTGAACTTGAGCATCTGCTGCAGTCTGACAACAGGGTCCTGGCTATAAGCACCCTCGAGTGCTTCGGCAAGAGGCTTTGTGTCGACGCCACGGACCACACACCGCTCGATCAACATTTTGGGAACAATCAGTCTTGACCGTTCAATTAGGCCCGGAATTTCGGGGATGATGTTGGTCATGGCGATCTTCAAGTCATCCTTACCGAGTCTTTCGAGCATCCGAAGAACAACATATCCAGCAGTGCTATTGCGAGAAAGGGAACCAATTCGGTCACCCAGGTTGTTCTTGTAAAGGTTTTTGAATGATTTACCAGGGAGGTATCGCACCATCGTCTCTAGCAGGCGAGAACCCACTGGATCGTAGAGGAGACCACGAATGAAAACAGCGCTTTCGGAATCTTCCTCAAACGTCTCATCGGGAACCAGTCTCCGGATGGTCGACTTGGGATCTTTGGCGCTAGACTTTCCGAAATGCGAAAGTTCCAAGAACAACAATACCTGAAGTACGGGGTTTCCAACTGGGTGCGTAGCTAGAGCTCGGAGATAAACATCGTCGAGACCGGCAACCATATCGGTCATGATCTTCTTGAGCGCCGGTTCGAATGTCTCTGGAACAGTGTGTTTCTCGGCTTTGGATTTTGCTGCCTTCTCTTCGCCCTGGACAGTCGGGATCTCAATTCTTTCCTTCTTGCGACTTGCGACAAACGACTCGTTTGACGTGACATCCACCGGCTCGCCCGCAAGAACAAGCAGTAGCACTCGGATTGTATGCGACGCAAAGCGCTCCGTCAACAGGTACCCCCAATTTTCCTTCAATTCCTCAATAACAGCCATGAACATTTCTGCGATCGATAGCTCCGGCTCTTCCTCTCCTTCCTCGTCTGACTTTTTGGGCTGAGGTTTCACCTTTTGCATCACAGCAGGCGCAGCGTGAATGAAAAGCGTCTCACAGCAATGACTCGCAAAACGATGCTGCACTAGGTGGAGGAAGTGGCCGATAAATTTGCTGAATATCCGGCGCAATTGTCGAGCGTCGGACATTGAGATCAATTTCTCCATGAGTCGCGAACAGCCCTGACTGCAGGCAATTTTCAACTCCTTGCCACTAGCTTCAGTGTATACACTGTCGACAAACAAGCTGCGCTCTTCGGCGTCCTGGAACTGGTTCAGCTCCAGCATTTCGTTGGCGCGCTGGAAGTATTCTGACTCCTCCTCGTCTAGAAGACCGTAGAAAGGCATGTCTCCATCCTCATCAGGTCGCTGAGCTTCCTGCTCTTCGCCCGGGTCAAGGGGAATGTAGTCCTCATTTCCGGCAATTTGGATATCATCGTTGGTCTCGTTGGTGTCGTCGGCAGAGGGCTTCATCCGCTTCGCGACGGGATCTTCGGGGGTTTCCTCGAACTTTCTCTTGGAGTCCTCTTTTTGGGCTTTCTTCTCGGCCCTGCGGCCTCTTTTTTGTTGTTCACGAGGCATTATGGAGGTGTGTCGTGAGAGAAGATGGTCTTGAAGCGCTGGAAATTTTTTGGATAAGCGGTGGTCCAAGCGTCTCCGCGGTGATAAGCGTTTGGTCTGTTTGCAATTGCCGCCATCCATTGATTGATTCTATAGACCAAAAGAAAAACAACAGGCCGACCGAGTAAAGCGAATTATAATTGCATTTCATATGGCATCACTAATATACAGGTTTTTTTTTTTACCTTTACACCGCAGAATAAATGGCAGAGACATGACGCCCACATTCAACACGCTGTTCCATGCTCACATTGCGCTTCCCGACCTTGCCCTTGTGACGAGGCATGATCTGCAATCGCGCCTCGCCCTGGCTTTTCTTGTTTTCGGGGGGTGCGTTGATGTAAGTAGGCTTGGATTGATTGCTTCGCTTTCCTGTCCCCAGCTGGAAATGCTCGTTGCCTCCCCACCAGAGTACATCATAGCCCCAGTCTTTAGTTTGATCCAAAGTGTCCTTGATAGTCTTGGTGACATTGGTCTTGTTGTCCAGGATAGCCGCGACATGTGTTGTACCGACAGACATGGACCTAATGCGGATAGGGGTCATTTGTTTTGTCTTCTCGTCATACTCGCTCACACCACTTAAAGCTTTCACCTTGGTAGGCGAATCCTGCAGGTGAACCCATCTGCCATTGCCGAGAGTACCCCAAATTCCCCTACCACAGGCCCATGTGTCTGCAGTTACATTTCCAAGATCATGAACATCGGCTGCCTCTTCTTCGTACCCTAGAATGCGCTTGGCATCAACGGAGAAGAAGGTGTTGGCGCCACCAGCAGCAATGCTGGTAACCTTGGGCAGATAGCGGTTTCTGCTATAGAGTTTTTGAGCCTTGATTTCGAAAGGAGCATCCTTGAAAGACCTCTCAGCTTCAAAATCCACACCTAGTTGGCCAAATGAGTTGTCGCCAAAGCCAAACATACGGCCATCTTTGCTTAGCGCCAGTGAGTGGTAGTCACCACAGGCAATTTGCACAATCTTGGAGCCTTTGAGAACTGTAACTTCATGGCATTTATCTGCTGGCCCCTTGGGTCTGGTGAACCAGGTAAGTCCCTCCACACCGAGTTGACCTAGCGAAGGGTAATTTTCGGTGGATGACGCCGCAGAGAAGACTCGACCAGAGCTTGTGAGAAGCAGCACATGTTCCTGTCCTCCACTGATTGCGGTGACCTTTTCACCAAGCTTCAAAGATGGGTTCAGTACACGGTAGCTCAGATTAGACTGATTGGGCCAGAAGGGAACCCAAGAGCTTTCCGTTGTCTTTGGGCCGGTGTTTTGCCCATCCTTGGATGTGGGCAGTGAGTATACAGTCCCATCCGAGGACAGCGCAATGATTCGACTTTCGGACAGAACGAGTGAGGTGAGATTCCTGCCAGTCAGAGTTACCGTGGGTTTGAAGTCCGACTCCGAGAACGCCTGGCCCCATTGCACTAGATCTCCATTCTCGGTGATTGCTGCACCGGACTTTTCCTCGATCTTGAGATCCCTCAGAACCTGGCCATTAAAGTATTTGAAGCGCCGAGGAGTCTTGATATCGGTATCTTTAGATCCTGGATCCACCACGCGATAAACGTTCGACCCCCATGTGTAGACGCCGGGGCTTTTCAGGCTTCGTTTTTCTTGGACGAACTGAGCTTCGAGATCGTTGACGTCAACGGGCTCTTTCTTTATAACCTGCGGACGACTGAACCAAGCCTCCTTTCCACCATCAGCCACGTATGAGTATCCCAAAAAGACTGCAGTTCCTGTCACGGCAAACCCGAGGGAATTGCGAATCCAGTGCGATGACGGGCCTGCCTTTCGCGATTTACTGCTGGCAGATCGGGACCATGGCGCATTTAGTGACTGAGCCGTCGAGTTTCTGAGTGGGCGGAAAGCGAGGACGGAGTGCGTCGCGGGCCGTCGCAGTTGGGTTGTGAACATTGTAGATTATTGCTGAATCACCAGGTAGAGCATACCGAAGCTGGAAAGGTGAGATTATGTCCGGGGAAGCTCTTAATGCCGGGCCTGTGATTTGTTGCAGCAATCTAGGCGGGAGCTATCGGCAGAATCCGTCTCGGAGTTGAACACATCGCAGTTCGGCTTCAACATCAAACTTGGCCTGAATTTTACTCAGAATAAAGTCGGTAGAGAGATATGAGCTGCAGGTTGACTCCCATCGCACTCTCTGGGCCTTGACCACACTATGCCTTCCACAAAGCAGCAGCGTGCCCGCCGCCAAACCGCTCCCTCCGGCCCGCCGCGCAAACCCACCGCCAAAGAAACCCAATCAAGCCTCCAAGCATTGGACGAGAAGCCGCCCGGTGCTTTTGAATGGAAAACGGCAGGATGGAGCAACGAATTTGAGTTTTCACAGTGGTTTAATGGTGTCAAGGGTGACTTGATTGAGGAGAGCTATGACGAGTACCAGTACGATTGACATTGGACGGTTATCGGAGGCGTACTAATTCATTTCTTTAAAGGAATTGCTTGGATGAACTTGAACAATCAAAAGAGCACATTGACGAAATCTTAACGAACACCCTGACCCTTCTGGGTGACCTATCCAGCTTGTCCGAATCATTCAAATCGGTCGAGACACAAACATGGAATTTCGAGAAGCAATGCCAAGGCCTTTTGTCTGCCCAGGAACGGGATACGAAACTTGCGAATGGTATCCAAACCAACCTCCACTATTATGACTTCTTAGATCCCGCATCGCGGCGGTTGAATGCTCCCGGCGCGGGTAATACAGTTCGCGACAAGGAATTCTCAGATATGTTGAGGCATCTGGACGTGTGCTTGGATTACATGGAAACACATGTGAGTAAGCAAGTCGGGGATATTCATGCGCATCGCTGATCTCTACGCAGCCGGATCAAAAAGAGGCAGAGGTATATCGCTCGAGATACCGGCTACTGCTAACGCGTGCCTTGACGCTTATCCGCGGCAACTTTGTATCTTCACTTAAGGATATTTACCAGAGCGTCTCCAAAAAGATATCGGATCAGCAATTGAATGACACAGCTCTGTCGGCTCTCCTGTACGCTAAATTTAGGGTTGGGGCACCTGAACTGAAGCAGATTGGAGTCGAGATTCAAAAGAGAGCCGTACCACCGCTCAACCCAGATCAAAATAACGAAGCTGAATATCAAAGCCTGATGAACGAGCTGCACAGCAATTACTCGGCTACCCGTGCGAAGCTGATACTTCCGCTCGCTCGCAAAAAGCTCGGCGAAATCACACAGACACCTAGTTCGTCCAAGGACCTGGTTGCCTTTGCTCGAGCTAGCATCAGTTATATCCGTGGCCTATGCCTAGACGAATATGATCTATGGGGAGAATGGTTCCACGGACAGGGAGGTTTATATGACTTCCTTGAGACGCTATGCGAACCACTTTATGATCACCTTCGTCCACGGATCATTCACGAGTCTGATATCGTCAGACTATGTCAGCTGTGCAATCTACTGCAGACTCGCTATTTCTCGGACCCAGAAGAAGAACTCGAACAGGTTGAAACGAACCATCTTGACTTTTCTATTTTGATCCAGCCCGCTTTACAAGACGTCCAGGCCCGGCTTGTCTTCCGTGCTCTAGCTGTTCTGCGCGACGAAATCGAACGATACAAACCTCGCCCAGAGGACACTGATTACCCCATGCGAAATCGACAGGTATCCCTAACTGTGTCAGATACTCAGATATCGGGCAAGAAGGACACATCCGCGGATACACTAGTCGACATGACGGCCAAACAAGGCGATGACACAGGCGAATCTACACAAGAGCTAGACGGTAAATGGGACTTTGAGACGCAGACCGCTCTGAAGGGCTGGTATCCAACCCTGCGAAAAGCAATATGGCTTCTGAGTCGAATATACCGCCTAGTGAATGTAAGATGCCTCCCCGCAACAGGCCTAATTACCCACCCATACTGACCACCCTAGTCCACTGTCTTCGACGATTTAGCTCACCAAATCGTGCACCAAACAACCCTCTCTCTCCAAAACGCTAGCACCCTAATAGCCGCCAAAGCCACACCAGCCGACAGCCAACTCTTCCTAATGAGCCACCTCCTAATCCTAAAGCAACAAATCGTCGCCTTCGACATCGAATATGTCTCCGCCGATATCTCCTTCGACTTCTCCGGCATGACAAGTACATTCTGGGAGCTGCGCGAACGCGGCGGCCTCTTCAACCCGCGTAATCTGATGCGCCTGGTGGGCCACGGCCTCATCCCGCGGGTCGTGGAGAACATGCTCGACGCGAAAGTCGAGCTTGATGGTCGCCTTCGCACGGTTATCAATGACTTCATCAATGCCTTTGCTGCTCGCATGACCGCCTCGCTGCCGGCTCAATTCATCGATTCCCGTAACCTTGCCCGCGGCGAACTTATCCTTCCTTCTTGCCGCACTATCGAGAAGGAGGTGCCGGGTTTGCGCAAGGTCTTGAATGAGTATATCGACGACACGCGTATGAAAGAGACGCTTGTTGGGGCGGTCCAGGACCGCACTATTCAGATTTACGAGGATTTCTTTGAAAAGTATACTTCCTCCGAGAAGGCGAAGGGCAATTTTGTTAGTAAGAAAGGGAAGGGTCGGGACGATGCTGTCTGGGATGTTAATACCTTTGCCGAATGGTGTGAGGGTGTGTTCCGCGTCGGTGTCGCTGGGTTGCAGGCCGATATCCCCGAGGACGATGATGATCTCCTAAGCACCAGCTCTTAGGATTGGACTCGTTCTTATGACCTTTTTGTTTTATATCCCCTTCTTGAGCATAGATACCATGTTGAATTGAGCACTTCTGTACATGTCTAAAGCGAGGAATTGTATAAATTCTTGTTGGTTGGTCATAGCAGCTTGATGATATTGTAGCGTATCACAATTGGACCGTAAAGAGGGAAATAATCTAGTTTCCCCGGTAAATGTTATTATCCACAAACGTGAAAAAAGTATGTACAGCTGATCAGAAAGCCGAAAGAATCCAGACGAAATTTGGCCTCAAGCATGTAAAAGAAAAGGGTATGTACGGTCGATAGGAGAAAGCGCAAAGTCGTTAAGTTACGCCGAACCCAGTCAAAGAAGAAATCAAACCAAGGGAACTCAAAGAACATCGCGAATCTTGGAATACAATTCCGTATCTAGGAAGTTGTAGTTCGGATCCGACTCGCAGAAGGGATGGCGGGTGAGCAGGGTTCCGGCAGTAGGACGTTCAGCCGAGTCACTGGAGGACGTTAGTAAATATAATCAGGCGATCCAAGAACAAATCAGACGAAGACATACATTGTGAAGCAATCATACATGAATGCAAGAGCCGCAGGACTAATGTTCATAGAAACATCATCCGGAATCGGTGGAGCCTGGCTCAGACTGCCGAGTTTGAAGATAGCGCCGATAGCCTCCTCCTTGCTCCACGGTCGACGGCCCGCGAACATCTCCAGCACCACACAGCCAAGGGACCAGATATCGACCTTGGCACTGTAGCCTTGACCCTGCGACTGGATGACCTCCGGGGCCATCCAAAAGACGGAGCCCTGCATGGAGTTGGACGAGTCATTGCCGTAGATGTCGTCCGTTTTCTTAGATATACCAAAGTCAGAGATCTTGCACGTGCCATCGAGATCCAGGAGGATGTTGTCTGCTTTCAGGTCGCGGTGGAGGATTCCCTTGTCGTGCAGGTATGCCAGTCCGTCCAGGGTCTGCCGCGTCAGTGATCTCACCACACTTTCTTCGAATTTGCCGTGCTTGCGCAGACAGCTTCCGACAGATCCACCGGAGATATACTCGAGGTAGATGGAGATGGAAAATTCGCCGCGCTCGCATCCAAGATACTGCACGATGTTAGGGTGTTCGAGGTGCTGCATCGTGTCGATCTCCTGGTCCAGGGCAGCGACCATCTCCTTGATGCGGTCTTTGTCTGCCCCTGCAATTCGCGGATTGATCTCAACCAGTTTGACTGCCAAAACTTCACCATTGTCGGCGTTCATGCCTAGGTATACGCGACCGTAAGTACCCTTGCCGATGAGCTGACCACGGATAATGCGGAAAGTGGGCTGTCGCTGAGGAACAGGCCCGGCATTGGACGCCAGTTGGGCGCTGTTTTGCGGAATCGGATCGAGTTGGCTAAGCCGGGTACCTGGCCTCGGCCTGATTTGCATAATTTTGGCGCCGAACATCTTGGTACTCTTTCGGCGTAGAAGATCACCCGACCTTTGCGGACCAGCATGAACGCTGTTCGTCCGGTTCGCTCCTTGGGCCACCTGTCGAATAGATTTCATGCGAGAGAGTCCGCCGCCACCGACACCACCACGAGCAAGTTTCTGTCGAGCAAAGTTGGCAGGTTCGGGCGGTCTCACTGGCGCTGTATCAGGCGCATGGGGTGCATTTGGCATGGGTGGCGGTACTTCCTTCTTGTCTTTGAGGTTCGCGTCATGTTCGTTGATAGTCTTGCTACTGGGTGATGAGGGCTCATCCAAGTATGGAGCGTCAAGATCAACATCAGGGAAGAAGTCATCGAGGTGGTCAATAACGCCTTCGACGGCAGGTCTGCTTGCCCAGATATCTCGAGCAAATGACTCTCGCTGTGGTCCAGGCCTCTCATCTTCAGGCGAGACTGGTCCCCAGGTACTGGAAACCGGTTCCTTCCCATCAGATGCCTCTCCGCCGGAACTAGGACCGGCAGTACTCGGAGATTTGAACCTGACAGATAACTTTGATCTTAATTGATCTTTCGTGTTCACGGTCAGCGATGGCCTCTCCGCCTTCTTTTCGGCCTCGGTTTGTGTTTGTTTCGGTTCTTCCTGAACCCTTGAAGGTCGGACTTGGAATAGGCCATCGTCCGAGTCATCATCAGAATCGTCATCTGAGTCTTGCTGCTGTTGGGGGGTTCGCTGGAAGGATACTTGATTCTCTTCAAAGTCGAACTCTGGACCGAACGACTTGCGAGTTTGCAAGCCAGGTCTCGGCGAGTCTTCACCAAAAGCCTTTTCGGGTGACTGATCGGCAAACGAGACTGGCGGTTTCTCGCGTTCTGTAGTCATCTTCGAAGTGGGTCTCGAAGAGTCTGGAAGGTAGTCAGAGGAAGGTCGATCAGACCGCGCTGTGTCGTGCATGTACTGACCCAGGGGTGTTCTGCTTGAAAAGGTTCCAGAATCAAATGCCCCTGGTCGATCAGACTCGGAGATTGCACTGTTTTGAGTGTTGGCTGAAGGCGTAGATGGAGCCGGTACCGAAGGCAATGGCGTGCCAACTGCACTTGTAATGCGGCCAACGCTAGCAATTGCAGCGCCCAGGGACGGCTGTATCCGAGCTTCACGAGGTTCACGAGTGGTGGGTCTCCTGCTGAGAGAATTGACCTTGGTAAGAGTGTTGGACTCGATTGGCGCTGTGGGAGGTTTACGAAGTGGTACAAGCGAATCTCCCTTCTTTTCGTCATAAGGCGATATACGAGGACTATCAAAGTCAATGACTTCGTTTCGCCTGTACCCGGTGTCACTGTAGGCGTTCTTGTTTTGCAGCGGCATTTTAGATTGTAAATATTGTTTTTGTTTACGTTCGACCTCACGGAGGTGTTCCTCATGGCGAGCGAGTAAATCGGATTTGTCAGACCCAAGAGCTTGGCTTGCGTCCTGTACGGTCTCCGCCGGGGATGGCTTCCCTGTAGAAGCCTTGAGAGTGCTTTGCCGAGAGCCCAACAATGGAGACTCTGGTCTGGTGCGGTGCGGTGATAACCTGTTAAGGGCATCTTCATCCAAGGGCTTCCGGTGGACCTGGTGGTGTGTTGCCGTCGGGGACATATTGGACTTTTCTATGAAAGAAACTCCCAAGCCATCAACTCGAGGAGTATGGGGTGGCATAGGAAGCATAGGAGTCCCTCGTACAAACAGCTTGAGAGAACCGTATGCATCTGACTTGTTTCGACGCGACTGTGCAAGGTATGCGTCACTCATAGGATCATCATGCTCGCTTTGCCCGGGCTGAGTAAGGTAAATCTGCGCATTGCTCGGGTCGATCGAGAGGCTTTCACAGATCCCGGTACGCAATGACTCGAAAGAGTCGAGATCGGTGATGTCAATCAGACGGTAGTTCAAGCCATCCGTGGTGGCAAATATCCATTTCTTTGTCCTTGTTATCGCCGTGGATGGACGCTCACCGACCGACATGTCGCTAGTGTTGTAAGAAGGCTTTATGTAAGGGAGATAGGCTTCATTCGGGCGAGTCTCCGGGCTTGTCGTAGGCGACGAGTCTTCATGCTGATGATCGGGGGACGGGTGGCTAGAAGCCGTAGTTCTTGTCTTCTTCTTCAGAATATTAGAGAAAAAGCCCTTGTGTTCTTTGGAGTACGAAGACGAGGTTTGGTCATTCCATTGTCGACTGGAGGCATCTTGAGGCGAGGGACGAGTACCCTCTTGGCCTAGCCTGCGAGATTCATGTTCATGGCCTTGTCTACGTGAATCGTAGTACCGGCCTGTAGCGCCCCGATTGATCGATTCGGTGCTATTGCCCCGAGAGTGATCATACGGTCTCAACGTCAGATCCCCAGTGGATGATGAAAATGCTCCTGCATAAGCGGGTGACACATTCTGCATGGCTGGGCTGCCACTAATTGGACTTTCTTCATGTGGCCGAAGAGATGCTCCCTGAAAATTGCCCGATTCGCTGCCAATGGACGAACTCTGGCGTCGATGGTCGCTGTTTATTCCGGATAGGGCATTGCGGGTATACTCTGACCGCGAATAGTCAGATCGCGCCCAGTTTTCTCGTGCCGGAGACTCATTTTTTCTAGGCGAATCGTGGCCAGCAGAGACCGGCATGGTAACCGAGCGTTGCCCAGGCTGCTTTTGGGCTTGATTGGAGGCGTGCAATGCACTCAGATGATCCTGACTCACATCATTGACACCAGGGATAGGGCCAGCCGAACGTGGCTCGGAAAATTTAGAAGAAAAGTAAGCCGCACTGTTCTCAGGGAACGCAGTCGCCGGCGGCTGCGTCTGATTCAGTGGGGTAGTGACGGTGTAGTCTTGCGAACCATCATGTATTTGACGGATGAGTTTGCGCATACGCTTCCCTTCATCTCGTTCCCGGCCAGGTTCCCATTTTTTGCCACTCCGGCCAACCTCCTTGGACAATTGAGGATAAACCACTTGATGCATTTTCCCGAGGTTTCCTCGTCCGCCGGATCCATGTCCAAGTTCGAGGAAGTCAGCCCCTTCAAGCTCCAAAGATTTGAATGTTTCCTGCCAGTCGTTGGAAAATCCATTTTTCGCAAGCCAGATGAGCACGCGATCCAATGGCCACTGGATCGCCGCTTCGCTGTGAGATAAACCGCCCAGCGAAGTACCGCTAGCATTGTAACGATGACTTGTCGTTTTAGTAAGCTCGGTAGTTGGAGCTGTCGCCTGTTGCTGCGGACTGTCGTTGGACGTTAATTCATGAATGTTGTTATGAAGAGCGTACGGCGAAGAAACGGTGCGGGCCCCGGGGCTCTGCGGAAGACTTGTATCTGGTTTATACGGGGTTGGAGTATTGATGTGATCTTGCATTTGGCTGAGACCCAACCGTTGTCTCTCGGCATTGGTGTGCGCGTACGGATGAGCTCTTCCATTGGGGTCGAACAACCCCGGAATGCCGACGCCAATAGTATCGTTCCCGGGTATATAAGTTGCGGATGTCAGAGGCTGATGGTCATGGCGCGGAGGAACGATCGACAAGTGCGCTGGTGGGCGACCGTATGTTAGATGCTGGTTTGGTGCGGGGGCAAGAGGGGGCGGCGGTGGGAAGCCTGGGTTCAGCGCCGGTCTGGCCCAGTTTTGCTGCCATCCTGTCGGAGTTCCATAGGTCGCTCCTGGAGGCGGGCCAGGGGGCGGGCCAGGAGGAGGTGGTGGCACCAGCGTTTGGGCTTGTGGATGTCGAGGTGGAGGGGGAGGCAGGTTCATATGTTGTTGTGTCTGAGAGGAAGGCGGGGGCCCCGGGACATACTGTTGACGTCCATCCATTGTGATGCCCGATGCACTGGATCTGGCTATTAATTGCAGTTATATCCCGCTGTCTCGACTGCGACGTCCAGGGGAGGTTCGGACGAAGGTGGTTTTCGGGGTTGTTCAGGTAGGATCATTAACGCATCATGCTAGACGTCCCAGCGCCAAACAAGCGGTCGGATTTGAGGGCCGGATACTCGATCTCGGTGGTCGCTTCGGACGGGCAGAAATGGAACGAATTTAGATCCTCAGTGCGTGAGTTGACATGGTTTGGTTCGGCGTCGTTGCCGATGTTATCGCAGCGCTTGGGATTGCAGAACAGACTGAAATCGCGCGACGGGCTGGTCCCAGGCCAAGACAATCTAAAGATGATTGACTGAAATAAAGAAAAGCTCTTGCGAACTCAGTACATGGTTAGCCACCTGCGGTTTTGTGATGGCGACGCGATTGGGTCGAAAGATTGGAAGATTGGAAGGTTAAAAGGCGAATGGAATTCAAGCAAGTGGAAGCGAGCACAGAACACCACAACTCCTTACTTCCGATCGTATTTCGGAAGCGAATGGAACTCACCAAGAATGCTTGAAGTGATAATATCAAATGGCCTTTGATTATATTGATTGTGATGTCTCGAGGGGGATCGTCACGTGGTCCTTGGATATGGTAAACTCCCTCTTCCTGTCCTTTTAGGGTTATAGTAGTAGCACATATGTACATAGGACACAGTACACGGTGAGAAAGAAGGAACAGTATAACTAGTATCGTACTTTTAGCACTTTCTTCATGGGATATCCCCCAGACCCCGTCTGGCCCTGCAATCTCCCAATCTCACCTTCGGTGGCCCGTGATCACCTGGTATCTGCTACGCGCCAATGACAGTGCTGTGGCGTCTGCATCTTCATTTTCGGTCTGCTCTAAAAGCATTGGGTGGAAATAAATCCAAAACTTAGCATATGCCTTAGCCACCATGGTCCGGAATACTGGCATGAAAGTAGTCGCCTTCGGAGGACTTCTACTAGAAGTATTAGCGAACTATCAGTGGAAAAACAGTCTAAACGAGGAAAATTAAATTGTATCTCGCTAGTAAGTTAACAGGATACATGTAAGAATTATTTTTGAAAAGTCATAAACATCCACCATTTGGACACATCATGTGTCCTCATTCATCTCCAGATCTAGAGAACAGTGCCCTTGTTCTGCTCCTTGTCCACCCTGTAATGTCTCCACATACCAATACAGGGGATAGCAAGCGCAAGAATCGCCGTCGCAGAAATGCAGCCATACTTCTGACTGTATCCGTAGGCGAAGTTGATCGCGTCACGCTCCGGAGTGCCGGGTAGATACTGCATTTGAGTAACATAGCCACCGGAATAGATGGTAGCCCACTGATCCTTGGCACTCTCAGGCAAGGCATCGCGCAGTCCCTGGGGGAAGGTATTGGCGTAGATGGCAGCGGAGACGGCATAGCCAATGGCACCGCCCAAGTTCGAGAACAAGGAAACCAGCGAGATCATCATGGGGATGCCCTCACGGTCAGACGCGCACATGACGGCCATCTGCTCGCCGATGACCAACATACCTCCAGAGAAGGCAATGAAGATCTGGCACATGATCACGTACCCAATATCGCCGTCCGAGCCGCGGAAGTGGATCATCAAGCCGGCGCCGAGGATCATCAATGGTAGAGCAAAGAAGAGGCAGCTGTACTTGAACTCCTTAACGTAGCGGATCCAGATGCCGAAGATCGGGGACCAGAAGCAGGATCCCACGGTGTAAATCGCTGTCATGTATCCGGTCATCGTGACATCGAGGTTGTATACGACCATCACAAAGTAGTAGTAGTATAGATCCCAGGAGTAGAAGCTGAAATAGAGGATAGCGGAGAGACAGCAGGCGCCGAGGACGGTGCGGTCTTTGAAGAGCTGGTAGGGGATGAAGTGGGTGCGGGCGATCCATTTTTCCCAGGCCGCAAAGACAAAGAAGAGGCAGAAGCCAATAACCAGGGGCGCGATAAAGCTGGCTTCGGCGTACTGGGCACGGCCATAGTTGGCCAAGCTGAAGGGAAGGAGGAACAAGATGAAAGCCGCCATTAGAAGGAAGGCACCGACAACTAAAAATTTGGTCAGTGATAGGTGGAGGACAGAAGGGAAGATATATACGCACTGTCGAACTCGTGCAAGTAGTGAATGATAGATTGCATAGTAGTCCTGCCGCTAACTGGGCGCTGCAAAACACCCATCTTCCGGGCCTTGATTTCATAATACTTGAAGACACCGGCCAGAGGCAGGAAGACAAAGGGCATGATAATAGCAAAGGCACCATAGGCCCATCGCCAGTTTGAAGTCTTCAGGAAATTCGCAGCAGCCAGTGGACCCGTGAATGAAGTGCAAATGAATGGTGTGGAGGCAAATGCAAAGGCGAAAGCACGGTTGCGCATGCCCGAAGTATCGGCAATAAAGATGTCCAGGATTATGTAGATCGCATCATATCCAACCCAGTACAGAACGTAACCGGCAGCGTAACTGTTGGCGTTGTTACAAGCAGCAAGGATGATAATGCCGAGAATATACACGGTTGTGAAGATGATGAGACCTTCTGCACGTCCCCATAGAGTCAAGATCTTTCCGATGGGAAGCTTGAGAACTCCACCGACGATACTTGCCAGAATGGTGGCCGTGCTGACCTGAGAAGCATCCTGGAAGTTGGAGTAGGCATAGTAGAGAACGTTGGAACCGATAGAGGAATGCAAAGCCAACATAAAGAAACAGATCCAGATCCTGTAGATGTGAGATTCTAGTTCATATGCCGTTCTCATCCATAGTACTTACCAGGCATATGTCGCGTAAACAGCCGGCTTGCTCCAGACCAAAGCAACAGCCTCAGCCTTGCGCACACCATCTGCAGTATTCGCGGTGACCTGGTCAGGATGTTCCTCGATCTCCTTCTCTGCACGGCCCAGGTTGTTCAGATGATCGTCCACCGTGTTTTGCTCCACATTGATATCGGGCTTCTCATTTCCTTGAGTTGGGCGCAGATCCTCGACGACCACCTGGTCCTTCCGACCACGAATCAGATCGAAGACACCCATGACTACAGTATAGGGAGCTCCGAAAAAAAGATTGAGAATATGAGAAAGAAAAGGAAAGAAGAGGTACACTCGGGGAGTCCAGCTATATATGGGGGATGGAGCATCTAAAGAGTTTTTTAGTGAGTTGAATCCTTTTGGAAGCTAACCATGAACCTTACAAGGTGCACGGAATAGCCAGGACCGGTTAGTCCACCAAAGTCCCGGAGATAAACGGATCAGATACCCCAAGCCATGGAATTAAGACTCTAACAACGGACCAGCCGACACGCCACTCAACCTGGAAGTGTGTGGGATTCACCAATGCTTCTCACGGCTGAATGATGCCGATAAAATACTGTGCAATGATTGGTTTACAGACTCATCGGCCAAATCCGAGTGTCTCCAGTTTCGGTTAGTTTGGCTAACTCTCTAGTTTGCCGGCAGTCGCGGCAGGCCGATTGTTTTTTTTTTCCCCTTCCTTTTTTTTGCATTCTATTATCGTCCCAGGCTTTTTGTCTTATGCATACCTAGCATATGTACTCAAATGTAAAATTCTATCTACAACATTAGAAGTAGAGTACATATAGATATGGCTTGGAATATCCAAGGGTATCAATAAGCATAGGGGAACCTGCCATATTCAAATAAAAGTCAGGTCCCCTCATAGACCCCGAAAGCATGATAGATTAATCCAGCCCGTCAGACTCCCAATTAGAATGCAAGCATTTTGGCCGCTAAGGGCTTATTTTGCGCCAAGTGGAGAGAGGCAGGTAATCAGATGCTTTCGGAGCTCCACCCGAGATCAGCAGGCTGTCATGGGACACAGAGATGACCTTTTCATGAAAAATTTGTAGACTTGCAGATCGAGTATATATCAACGAGGAGCGATGAACAGGAAGATCGTTCCTGGATATAAGGTTACCAGGCACACTTTCGCCTTCCATCTTATCAGATGAAGATTATCAGATCAATCCTAAAAATCAAATCCCGCGTGTTTGGACCGCTCTCGGGCCTTTCCAACTTTGGAAGGTTCCTAGGTTCGTTCCAAGGTTCCTTTGTTCCTTCCAAGTTTCTCGGCGACCATCGGGAATTTTGTTTATTTTCAGGTCTTGGAAGAGAAGAGATTTTTTTTTTCGTTTTTTGCTGTCAGTCTGGACTCGGCAAATTCGGATCTATACACAACATAGTCACACTGTAGCTTAGCTTTAGCAGTCGAGATGATTCACAGCTTTGCCTTAGCGTAAAAGTGTCCACCTGGGCACGGTCAGTGCTCATTCGACATGTCTCTTCTTCGCTACTCCGTACTTCGGACTCATATGGACTCATATGACTTATTGCTGTTTCCGGTAGTGGTTCGGACAGGAGTTTCCCTTCGGGCTTAGCCTATTTCCGCTTTTTATTGTTCCACGTGGATGGTGAACCTTACTTTAGTTAAATCAGATTGGTAGAGTTTCCTAGGGTGAGGCTCTTCTAGGAAATTGATATTGGGCAGTTCTTTTCCTTTCTCTCACCGGTATCCCAAATCCTAGCGGAGGCAAATATCATCGGAGCTCAACGAATGACAAAAGGACTCGCATCTGATATCGTAAATTTATCCCTGAGAACTTCCTAGACATCTCTCACCTAATCGAAGACAAGTGGTCCCACCGGGACATTCCACATTAAAAGAAAGATGCCACCTCCTACCTCCCATAAGCAGGAGTGTATGCAGCTTTAGAAATGAATTATAGGTTGACATTGGTTTAAATTGAGCAGAATCTGCCAGAGAAAACTTCAAAGCATTTGGCTTGGTAACTTTAACTTTGAACGCGAGATGCTTATTTTGACATTGTAGCGACGCTAGCCTCGTACTAGCCTCGTACTAGCCTCGGACGCTGGGTCGGCGTTGCTTGCATTTTCTCATCTACTTAGTATCATGTCTTGATATATCTACCCAGATTTTGATAATGGTAGACTTCTAACTTAAGATATGAAGATTTCATTGTATTTCATGAGTGAAGAGCGAAGATGTGCATGCTACATACTCAACGACCGTTATTAAATCCCGCCGCTATGCGGCCACCCCCTTTGAAAGCCGTGAGAATGGAAAGAAAGCACCGAGGCCTAAACAATTCAGAGTTCAGGTATTGCTATCATGTTGCTTTTCATATGCATCGTAACGTTACGACAAGAGTCATAATACTTTCTCGTGATTCGAACCGCTTATTTGTTGCGCTGCGCAGCAGCCTCGGCGGTCAATTTCAAGGCCGCAGGGGCATCATCACGAGGCATGTACAGCTCGACCAGCTATATACCGTGTTAGCAAACAGTTTGGGACTTCTTTGTATTGATAACTCACTCGAAGCTTGTCGGAAACGTTGAATTCCTCCTTGGTGAACAGCTCGTTGAGTTCGTCACGGGTCTTGATACGATAGCCTGCGTAGTTGTCCTTGTCTCCTCCGAAGACCTTGGGAATGTTGGCAAAGTCCCATGGCTGGATGTCGTTGTAACCTGCGTCCCATCCATGGATGTATCGCTCAATAGTGTAGCCGTCGTTGCAGATAACGAAACTGGAGATGGTTAGTATATGATATGGGCATTCCGGGCTGCTGGGAATGCTTACACAATAGGGTTCAACTTCTTCTTCAGGATGGTGCTTAGTTCCTGTACAGTCAGTTGGATACTTCCGTCGCCAATGAAGAGAATGGTTCGACGATCTCCCAACTCCTTAGCAGCGAGGGCAGCGCCTTGACAAGCTCCCATGGCATAGCCAATGCTGCCCCAGAGAACTTGGCTGATGGCAGTCACATTCGCGGGGAAGCGGGTGTCCCAAATACCGAAGTTGGCAGTGCCAGTCTCCGTAAGGATGATGTCATTTTCCCTGAGCCACTGTCCGACGATGGGCCAGAGCCACTTGTGGGTGATGGTTTGATCGGTAGAGTTTTTCTCGCTTTCGGGTAGTCGGTTCGAAGCCGGGGGAATAGGAGCATGGGTGAGAGTACTCATCCGCTCAACGACCTTCCTCAAGACACCTTTCATGTTGATATTAGGATACTCCGAGTACCGCACTCTCACAAAGGTACTATGGAAGTCAATGCTGTTTAGCTGTCCAACACGGTAAGTGAAACCGGTGGTGTTGAAATCGGACTTGATTCCTCCAATGCTCAGAATGAGATCGGAGGATTCAACGGCCTCGCTGACTCCAGCGTTAGACCCATTGCCAGCATAAACACCACCGAAGTTCTTGTGGGTCTCGTTCACAGCTCCCTTGCCCATCGGAGTCACAAAGGTTGGCAATCCAGACTTCTCCACCAAATCGTGCACTTCATCTAGTGCGCGGTGACGAATGGCACAGGCGTCAACCAAAATGACAGGGTTCTTTGCGGCCTCGAGATACTTCAGGACAACATCGACCACGTAATCCTCCTTCTCCGGGTCATTCGTGGGCAATGAAAGATCAATCGGCGTCTTGAGGCGGTCGCCATCGACCTTAGCAGCAACCATATCAGTTGGCAGAGTGATGTACACGGGACGGCTGCGGATCCAGCATTCACGAATAGCACTGTCGATCAGAGTGGCTGCGTCCTTGGGTTCATTCAGGCGTGCGACGTAGCACGAGATTCCCTCGCTCATCTTGGTAAATACATTGAAGTCACCGTTTCCAAGAGTGTGGTGCAACAACATTCCGTCCCTTTGAGACTGAGTGGTGGGCTGACCAACGATATGGATGACTGGGACGAATTCGGAGTAGGCTCCTGCGATGGCATTGAGGGCGGACAGCTCTCCAACACCGAATGTGGTGACAATAGCACTGATGCCATTAACACGAGCATAACCATCGGCGGCATAACCTAAGAGGAGGTGATGTTAGATGGGGATTGTTCATTCGTCGTCAAGTCTGTCTTACCGGCATTAAGCTCGTTACAGTTTCCAACCCAATTGAGACCACACTTAGGCAGGTAATCCAATGCTACAAGATTGTAATCACCGGGTAGACCATGCAATGAGCGGATTCCGACCTCGTGAAGACGTCGGAATAAGTATTCGGCAACATCCACGGGATTATTTAGTTCCCTGGTAGCAATATCGGTAGACACCATGATGATTGATATGATTGGAGGGATATGGTAGAATGGAAAGAGAAGTAGGAACAGGTGAGGTGGGATAGAGGGGGAGGGGAACTTTTGTGAGAAAGGTGAGACCACATGTGGACTACGTCATGGTCTTGATGTCATGCCATCATTTCGTACTTTGATAGACATTGTGTTATTTTTAGAGTCAATTTGTAGGCTAGGCCACGTAGCAGAACAAATAAGCCTTTATTATGTATCTAGACCTACATAATCATGCCATAGAATAGTGTACACAGGTCGCAAATCCGATGTACGGAGGAATAAGCATATCATGAAAAAGGTCGATCTCGGGGCTAAACCGAACGCAGCTCTCGGCCGATCACACAAACTCCGACCCCCCACCTGGGCCACATTCCAACATCCTGGCATATCAAAGCTTAGATTGCTAAATGGGGAAAAGAGCTATGCCTGATAGATCAAGTCACTCTTCAAAGAAGAGAAAGGTTGGTTTCGAACAAATCTTGTGATGGAGCACTGACTAATGGGATTAGGGTGGTGGAAAATATGGGAAACAGGCCAGTCGCGTCGCGATTGAATCTGGCGATGTAGGTGTCTTTGTGACATGCGATATGGGCAGAGAGGGAAAATGCCTGTCTGAGGCAGTAGATATTTTTACTCAGGTGAGATCTTTTTTTTTTTTTTTTCCGCTTGGGATCATTCTTCTATTTTTCGCTAACTCTTCGCCTAGGCCATCGAGGGCACTGAAAATCAAAAGGAAGAGGATCACGATACGGATGATGAAGATATCGAGGCCCAGATCCGAAGGGAACTGGAGGGCCTACAGCCCAGCAAAAACAATACTCGTCAATTCCAGCCCGTGCAGATGGACATGCCGTGTGGTAAGTCTGCGATCGTCCGAGAAACGCCATTTCGTTTATGCGCTCGGCCCTCGGAACGTTCATAGGTGCTAATCCCTGTCAGTTACATTCATGCGTCTGGATCCCTCAATAGACCCGGTACAGCTTGTGCACCGTCTGTGTAGCGAAGCACATGCCCATCCGGAGACTAAGAAAAGCCGATGGATCAAGCGCATGCATCCAGTCACATCAATCCGGAAGACCCTGAGTGTGGACTTGGCGGCTTTTTCGAAAGAGATTCTCAAGCCTCATTTCCATTCGGGTGGGCCACCAAAGACGGTGAGTTGAAGGCATCCCTACCTCGCAGTCGGAGATTCTACTAATCTAGGAAATGATCTTGCTGTGAGGGGAAATGTACTTTGAGCATTGCTGATCTGTCACCTATTTAGTATGCCATTCGGCCTACTGTGCGGGGCAACTCGAAGCTCAATCGAGACGTTATTATCAAGACTGTTGCCGATGCTGTCGGGCCTGAGCATCCGGTGAATCTGAAGAATTATGATCTAATGATCCTCGTTGATGTTGCCCAAGTGAGTGCTACAAAACGAACCCTCTACTAAATCTTCAACTGACTTGTCGCAGAATGTGATTGGAATGAGTGTAGTGCCAGGTGATTATGATAAGCTAAAGCGGTTCAACTTGGCCGAAATCTACGATCCTTCACCAAAAGCAGAGCCGGCCACTGAGTCTAAGGCTTAGCATCAATGACACATTACTTACCGCGGTAGGTAGTTCAATAATAACTACTACCACCGATGCTACACTTATATCATCTCCACCGCTGTTCTCATACATTCATAACTAGTCCTTTGAAGTAAACCGACTCATCTATATACCTTCATAGGCAGGTGACGTCGAACAGTAACTCGGAATCTTTTCGGGCGACTTCGTGTGTAGCAAGACGAGTGAATTTGAAACAGAAACCATAGACACCTTCCATATTGGGGTTTGTTTCCGGTGCATGATTTATGCAAATCTCCGCATAAATAATATACACTATTGACGAGGTTTGCATGCGTCCAGTATCGAGTAGTCGACGTTGGAGGAATTGAGTACCATGATAGAGGCTCTTGAATTATAGCTGACAGATGAAACAGCCAAGAAAGCTAGAGAAAACCCTTCTGTTATATTTTTAGCCTCGTTAGAATGATATATTTAGCCTCGGCCAAACAAGAGGCGGATATGTATTTGACCATCGACACTAAAAGTACACTAAACATACTTGACGTTGAACCCCGATCTTTGCAACTAGTAGTATCACACTTCCTGTAGCTAAGATACTATACCAGAGGGCTCAACACTAGCGACTGAATTCATACGGTGATAAGTCGTGACGGGTACCGACAAGCCCCATAGTCCAAAAAAGGGTCGAAAAGAATGAAACAGAAGACAGAAGCTATATGTATGCGGATCCAAGTGTCCATCATGACTCCAAAAACTGTTTGAGATGCAAGTCATTTCATTTTAGAGTAAAACCTCCGGTGGCTTGCATCGAGTGTTTCAGACGGTTCCAGCCATTAGAAGCGATGGCTAAAACGGAAATAGACTAGTTTCGAATAGTAAGCGAAATCAGTTCGGAAAGTAACCGAGAAGAACAACTAGAACAATTAGAACCCTTGAAAAGTTCTATAATTTCTGAACTCCACTGGAAGATTTCGGCAAGGAACCGTTGTGATTGGTCAAGGGGTAAAGTGCTCGGATGATCACCTTTCTTAGAGCGGGATCGTTAGGCGAGACGGCTTCACTTAATTTACTTGTCCCATATTTCCTATTAATTATGAACCAATGTGACAACAGGTCTTTGGACTCTCGCTTGTGAATGCTTTCTCAGCGAAACAGATTCTTCGAATTCGACTCCGCAATCTATGTCCAACCTCGGATAGCGATGTCTTCTCTTTCGTATCTCGCGTGGATGAACCTAGAAGAGGCACGTCGCCGAAAATAAGCTGTCACTGTTCCTATTGCGGGTCACGTATGAAGTAGACAATCATGGCGGTCTGCTGTGCTCCATTGATATTCGAAGGATCACTATAGAGTACTCCGTACTATGGGTTCCTTCGCGAATTCTCTATCCCAGAAGCGAATTTGCGCCACATCTGCTGGGAAGATGCTTTTCAGTTCAAACTATCCCCTCGGCATATATCTGACCTCTTGGCTCTCAAGGTCTATGAGTAGCCCTTTCGTACATCATCCCCCGAATATCTTTTCCAAGATTCATGGGTCGGCATAGCCTGGCTTATATAGCATCCTCTCTATTCGCCAACATCCCCCACCAAACAGGTTATGATGCAACTTGACTTGAAGACATGTTCTGCGATGCCATCATTCAAGGGAACACACGGCCATAGCGATTCCTTTCGTTGGCAGTCTCATGCCGCCGAGGTAGACGAACACAATAGACTAGAAGATGTCCTCTCGCTGCTGTTTCCTTCTACAGTCCGTGTGCAGCACTCACATCCAATTTTCGGTCACATGCACCCATTGCGGCTTCTGATGCTGTCAAATGGGGCTCATTTGTTGCTAAAGGGATCCCCATCATCACGGACCGCTCTGCTTCGGCGTGAGCGATCGTTCCTCGAGACCGAAGCCCAGTTCCTTTCTCTTCTAGGGCAGTCTGCAAACCCTTGTATACCGCAGCTCTATCATTATGATCCCCACAGAAGAGTCTGGGGGTCTGCCTACTTGGTCCGGCAATATATGAAAGGGAAGAGTCTATCAGAGATGGAAGGCGAGCTCACCTCCCAGCAACTGGATGATATCGACCGGCACTTGGGATTCTTGGTGAGTACCATCGGTCAACACGCAGCCCCTGGGTTTGGGTCTTTGCAGCAAGTGGCATTTGGCGCTGGAAGACCCTCCTGGCGAGAGGCCTTCTGTTCCCTGGTTGAAGGTGTTCTCCGTGACGCCGAGGACATGTTCATCCACCTTCCTTACTCGGAGATCCGGCAGGAGCTGAGTCGTTTAGCGCCTGCTCTTGAAGATGTATCGCTGCCACGTCTTGTGGTCGTGGACTTTGGTCGACCCTCCCACGTTTTGGTAGACGAAGAGTCCGGACAGCTGTCTGGTATCGTGGACTTCAGCAGTGCCATGTGGGGTGATGTTTTGATGGCAGAGATATTCGCGGATGCATCCCCGGCGGTCTTTGAGGGAGCAGGGATGGCGGCGTCCAGGACAATGGAGGAAAACATCCGGCTGGCTTTGTATGTGTTTGGAATACCATTACAATTTAGTGTAATTCTGCTAACTCTTTCTTTTCCTAGATATGCGTGCTACCGGCTGGTGTCCCAAATCACTGTGCAATACTATCGAACCCGAGATGAGACGAGCGAATTTGATGCGCGGAGACGATTGACAACCACGATTGCGGAAATGACGAGACTTGAACTGGCATAACGGGGCAAACTGATTTGTCTGGCGCTTTATATGTCCAGGGTGATACCTAAAACGATCTCGATTATACTGGTTCTGTTGCATAGCGAGGTTCCTTCCAGCGACGGGGCTGGCCCTATACATGCATGTGATTTGGAGTTTTGTTCTTTTTGCATTGTTATATAGCGTTTTTATCCACGAATTTCCAGGGGTTCCAATTGAAATAAAATACATACGACCTTCATCCCAACCTATATATAGAACAAGAAGACCAAGAAAAGAATCACGTTGCCTTGAATGCCAAGTCGGAATTGATAGGGCGATAGGGCGGAGCGGGGCAGATCCGTTGTTTAGCTTTTGCATGGCGTCAATGGTGTTCTTCTCCGCACTTGACCTCTTCTACTCCTCCATAACTTGCTATACCCCTATCGCAGATGGCTCAGTTCCTGCGAGGAAAGCAAGCTGGTATACAGAAGGACCTGTCCGAGGGCTTGTCCCCGGACTTGTTCCTCCTGGACGATGTAAGTTCTTGGCATCCCTAGCATTCTCTTTTCCCCAACTGACACCGCTGTTCTCAGTTCGCACGATGCGGTGTGAATTCGCAGATTAGTACTATCGCATACGATCCCATACAATCCCTCATCGCGGTCGGTACCGGTGATACCCAGTTCGGTAGCGGGCAGATCTATGTCTTTGGGCAACGCCGGGTTTCGGTGGTCTTTGAGTTCCCGCGAAAAGCGTCCGCGCGGTTCCTTCAGTTTTGCGGCGACAAACTGGTCAGCATCGACTCCAAGAACGAAATCTGCATATTCTCCTTGGTGACTGGACGCATGGTGGTTTCCTATACGCCACCGGGCCAGGTAACTGCCTTGCTAACGGACCCGTGCTTGGATTATGCCTTTATCGGCATGCAGAATGGTATGTAAATTCCTAGGGGAAGAAAAGGACTGGAGATTGACTTGTGGATAGGTGAGATTATTGCGTACGATCTCGATCGGGAGTCCTTGACGCCGTTCAAAGTTCCGAACTTGTGGTTGGAAAGAAACCCTCGCGCGCGGTTCTTTCCCGTCGTATCTCTGGAGTTCTCCCCGCGAGACATTGGCAAGATCCTAGTGGGATATCCAGAGGGAGCAGTGACATTTTCGTTCAAGCAAAATATTGCTCAAAAGTACTTTGTCTACGAAATCCCTCCTGGGGCACCAGGTGGAGACTCCCTACCGGCCCACGACGTGCGCAGACCTAAATTGACAAAAGCGATCTGGCATCCCAACGGGATCTTCATTTTGACCGTTCATGATGATTCAAGTCTAGTGCTATGGGATACAAAGGATGGCCGTAGGCTTCATGCCCGGACTGTCCAGGTACCCAATGTCGACCACCCCGGTGCTGCTGGCAGACCGGGCTCACCTGGAGAGGGTGCTGGACCCAAGGAGCCGATCACAAAGGCTATTTGGTGCACCAAAGATAACCCGGAAGACACTGGTCTTTTGGTGGCTGGTGGTCGACCAGTAGGTGATCAGAGCAAGGGACTCGTTTTCCTGGACATGGGGACAACCCCCAACTATCAGACGTCCTCCTGGCAGATACTGTCTACTTACCTCGAGCGGCCACGGCGACAAATAAATCTATCAATCCCACCGGGAGCTAAGGTTGTTGACTTTTGCCTCATCCCCCGATCCTCGCCCTATTTCAATGGCGCCCATGATCCAATCGCACTTATCGCTATGCTATCCTCGGGTGAAATTATTTCCTTGAGTTTCCCCAGCGGACACGCAATTACTCCCACTAACATGCTTCATCCGTTCCTCACCTTCGTCCATCCCTTTGTAAACAAAGCTGTGCTTACTCCAGTTGATCGGTCGGTGTGGCTTGGTCTGAGAGAGCGCCGGATGCAGGGACCCAGATTTGTGATGGGCGGCGTAGAAGCAAAGAACACTTTCAAGCGATTTGAGAGCCGGAATATCATTTCGACCGCACACGCAGATGGAACCGTCCGTGTCTGGGACTGTGGGCACGGTGATGAAATTGAGAACAGCGACGTCGTTCAAATTGATCTTGCCCGTGCCATAGGCCGAGTCAACAATATCGAAGTGATTGAAATGTCTCTCGCCAGCGGCTCAGGCGAGATGTCTATTGGACTCAAGACCGGAGAGCTTGCCGTCTTCCGATGGGGCAATAACCCCTCATACGGGACTGAGGAGTCCCCCGGTGTCAATCAACCGCCAGGGCAGTTGACCTCGATAACTAAGCGAACAGATCCTGGGCTCAAGACGGGAATGATACCTCTGACTCTTTTGGATATGCAACAAGGTCCAGTGACGGCGTTGAAG